ATCGCTGCTTGTTGGGCTTGTAGCATTTCGAAAATCATACGCAAGCTGACCCCGATTTTTCCCATGTTGTGGGTGTCTCGGGCTATGGGTCGAGCACCGCCCTGAATGCTTCTTTCCGGTTCGGAACGCTGATTCACCTCTAGAGCTATTTGTGAATTGACATCCAATGGTACTTCGGCTCGATTTTCGGGTTCTTCGATTCGAGCCTCGTTGCCATCGTCAAGTAACTTTCCGGCCCCGGGCGCCAAGTTGTTGGTTTCATCTTGAAGGCCGGCTTCAAGGTCGATAGGTAGNTATGAATGCGTGCTTTACCTCTGATTGGGGTCTTTTTTTTTGCTTCACCGGTCTGAACCTAGGGTCCAAGCTCAGCCGATGCGTCGTTATGTCTGGTGGTATCCCTGTTATATCTAAATGGGACCAGGCAAAATAGTCGATGTTATCGATAGAAAATTGAATGAGTTTCTTCCTGAGTCCGGTCGTACCGTTATATTTGGGAATTTCGGGCATACGGAATTTTTTGGGGATTGGTTTTGGGGCCGCGCTCGAGGGAAAAGGCTTTTGTATGAATTTTTTCGAATCAAGCCCTTTTATCATTAGCGGAGCCCCCGGGATTTGATCGACCCTAGCATTATACGCTTCCACTTTCTTGTCGTTGGCTTTGACTCGTTTGGTGAGTTCCTCGAGCAATTTAGCAATTTCAGGAGCGGTCCCCGATTCTTGCTCGTTTGATTTCACTATGGCGGGCTCCGTTCTGGGGGTGACTTCTCGAAGAAGTGGATTGAAGTTCGGCCTGCTTTGCATATGAGTTTGGCTCTGCAACTGAGCTATCGCTGCTTGTTGGGCTTGTAGCATTTCGAAAATCATACGCAAGCTGACCCCGATTTTTCCCATGTTGTGGGTGTCTCGGGCTATGGGTCGAGCACCGCCCTGAATGCTTCTTTCCGGTTCGGAACGCTGATTCACCTCTAGAGCTATTTGTGAATTGACATCCAATGGTACTTCGGCTCGATTTTCGGGTTCTTCGATTCGAGCCTCGTTGCCATCGTCAAGTAACTTTCCGGCCCCGGGCGCCAAGTTGTTGGTTTCATCTTGAAGGCCGGCTTCAAGGTCGATAGGTAGGGCCATTGCTGACTTGAAGTTATAAGCTGGAGTGTACTGTAGATTTATATCAAACAATCACTGTTACCCTTAGCCCCACGGTGGGCGCCAAATTGTTTACCCGAAAAATCGGATAACGTTAAATTTAGGTATGGTTCTAAGGATGCGCAAATTTCTTTGATACAAGAATAACAATACTGGTAACTTGAATAAGTTGAGACAAAACAAGCACAAAGAAATCTCAATGTATCTGAGAAAAGGATGTGTTTATTGCAATGTGTCTTTAGCTTACAAGGATGTCCCATTTTATAATAGAGGGTTATTGCTTTATCTATAACAACATAATAAAATAATTCATATAGTGGAGGACCCATGATAATTTGTCTCTTCCTCGGTTCTCGCTAAGATTCTCTCCCTTAGTGCGGTTGTAACGGCTCTTGTCTGCGAGCTTGGTACTGGCTCGAGCTCGGTATTAGATCGAGCCCCCAGTCTTGGTTCGAGCTCGATTCTGCCTTGGGGCATCGATATTCGGGGCGAGTGTTGGTCGGTCCAGGCATCTTCGATGAACTATGAATTGTCTCGTAGTTCGATTTGGATATGGGCTCGATAATGATACCGATTCTTGT